AGTTTGGCCACAAAACTTTAACGGTTTGACAACTTTGATCCATTTTCTAAAAAGTTGTTAATTCCTACCTCTTTAATTCTTTAGCCATTTTGACACTTCTGGTCTTTGCAGTCAAAACTTTTACATTTTTCCATAAAAACATGAAAAAAACGGTCCAGGGCAAAGCCCGGGCTTTTCATCATTGCACTTTCTACGTCTGTCATATTTATCGATTCCCAAACAACATTGAAAGCTTTTGGCCCCCGCGTAGCGGGGGTAACCTTTCTAGTTATACATGTTGGCGATAATTATTTATTTATTTATTTTTAAATTTCGGTATGAATAGACAAATTTGAAGAGACTATCGGTAAAAAAACTTTATGCTCGGGTGTAAATGCATATTTCTCTATAAATAAAAGCCAATGTAAATATAAATTGATCATCCATAAAAGTTTATTCAAAACCATATATAGTATATACAAGAGTTGCACTTTTCACATATAATTCAATAACTCGATGAATTTTAACAAATATTATCCAAATTTTTTATATGTATTTCAAAATTTATATCACTTGATTTGAATTTTTTTTGGCAATTTTATTATGAAAAATGAAAAACAATGTCTTAAGAGTTTTGTTGAACTTTCATTTATTCTCTTTGATGCTTGCAGTGTGGAAAAAAATAATCATGTTTGGAAAATCTTTATCTTTTATTAGTTAATCAATGAATCCAACTATATGAAATCTACACCTAAAATTATGTATATCAAATTTAAAAGTTTTATATTATCTTATTATGTTTTTTTCATTAATCATGAAATGAATTAAGATTATTAAAACTTTGTAACCATTTTAAATATTATTATACATAAGGATCATATATACATCAATTATTATGTATAAATATTTGTTTTAATATGATTAAATAAACTGTTTCTTTTATTATATAAATTTTTCTTGTTCTGAACCGTATGACATATGGGTTATAACCTTTTATATATATATATATATATATATATATATATATATATATATTAATTTTAACAATTTACATAACATGGGAGCAGTTTGGAGGGGAAAAAGGCAAATAAGTAAAAGGTTAATGTCTTATAACATTTAAATAAATTTATAATATAAATAAGGGTTAATTATATTATAAATAGAACAATTTATAATTTTTTATTAAAGACAAAATAGTCTTTTTATTTCAGATAAGGACCAACTACACAATAAAATAATACCTTAGGGACTCAACGAATTAAAAAAAAATAAGTTTAAGACCAAACACACAAATCACCCCAAACCACAATGATTATTCGTATAGTTTACTCTAAACAAATATCCTATAAAATTAAAAAAAAAAAGAAAAAAAAGCAAATACTATAATTTTCTAAAGTTTACTTGAAAAGCACCTTTATGTTTTTGAAAAAATTCAATAGTATCCAAACAAAAAAATGTTGTAATCGCCACTACATACTAAAATTTTAACATAATGCAATAACCCTAAACGTAATTTATGTTGTGGAGCAAAAGTTTATTACGTTATAATCTAACTCCCATTAAAAAAAAACATAATCTTTATTCAACGAAGAGACCTAGGGACTGTAATAACCATGCATCCAGGTACTGCAATTTCATTAATTGATATCATACGTTTGTGCTTGTATGAAATTGGCAGCAACATAAATATGCATTCTTCGTTAAGTATTTGTGAATTGCATGCATACGTTACATGCTCTCTTGGGTAGTGTGACATGTCAGAAACAAATTAATTAATCAAGGAGACTGAAAGCTCCACAAATCACATAATTTGGTCATATCTACATAAGTACCAATTGTTGATTGGGCCATATGATTGGGCTTACCCATTTTTGTCACTTACAACACTAAAACTTCGTTTTAAATGTGTAGGCCCACATTTTTTTTTCTTTTACCGAATATTGTTCTCACATATGACGAACACAAAGAAAATAAGAAAGCAGACGTTACTAATTTATTGTTGATAGGGTACAATCATATTATCATAATATCTTTATTGGTTTATTGTGTTTCTTTATCGCTGATAAAATAATAAAAAAATATTGATTTAATTAAGTAGATTTTTTTTCTTCTTTTTACTTATTTGAAAGTGTTCATTAATAATGCCAGACAATCTTACAAATTTATCCTTATTTAAACACTAAAAAAAACATCCTCTAGATTTTGCAACCCCATACTGGTTCTCATCATTGTTGTTGCTTCTCTCGATGCTCTAATAGTTTCAAATACATGAAAATTGGAATCCATAATTGAACATGTTAGCCTTCAAAAAGAATCGTCTCTCACTATACCTATGATAACAAAGATTGCTATATGTGTTTGACAAAAATAACTGGTAGCTAAAAGATGAAAACTTATGTTTTTTAATGAATATATTGTTAAAAGTTGTCACTTGGACTACTATAAAAAACCATGAGCACAATATAATGTCTTTAAAGATACAGACAATGAAATCTAAATGATTAGCTGTCTGTATTCAGTATTCGTGTTGGTGTGTGTACATGGATAGAGTCGGCCTGAACATGGAATGGAAGATTCCATCCAAATAAAGACTAGAACATAATCATTGATACACCAGTGAAAACCTGTAATTAATTAATAAAATAATCAGCATAATGACATTTGATCCTCCATTTCACATTGCTGAGATGTAAGCAGTTCTTTATTAGGTTAACAGTACACCAAACAGCTCCCTCCCTTTCTTTCAATACACTTTATCTATTTCTATCTCTATCTCTATCTATCTTCACCCTCCATTCCCCACCAGATCTCAACATCTCCGACCACCAATGGCTCCGCATCATGAGAAGGTACTCATTCCAATTCGTCTTCTAATCATTTCCACTCAATGTATATGTATGTAATGTATGATGTATCATGTATCATGTATCTACCCCACATATTTACCAATTAGGGTTTATGCATTTGCTCTCGGATCACAAGTTCTTGACTTTATTGATTGATATGAAAAGGTAACGAAAATGGTGCTGGATGTTGACCTCAAGTGCTCCGACTGCTACAAGAAAGTTAAGAAAATTCTCTGTAAAATCCCTGGTCAGTCTACTTGTTCCTTTTTCAAATTTCAATCCACAATCGCATTTGCTTAAACTGAATTCATATTGTGTTTATGGAAACAAATGAACAGAAATAAGGGATCAGGAATATGATGTGGAAAAAAACAAGGTGAAGATCACTGTCGTCTGTTGTAGCCCTGAAAAGATCAGGGATAAACTCTGTCACAAAGGTGGAAGCTCGATTCAGAAGATAGAAGTAGTTGTTGAAAAGCCCAAAGACTCCAAACCTTCAGATAAAGATAAACCCAAAGATGCCGCCGGGAAGCCCAAAGCGGCAAAAGGAGACGCGCCGCCGCCGCAACCCAAAAAATCTGAACCTAAACCGGAGGTGGCAAAAATGGTGGTGGAGCCGGTTCATGGGTATCCACAAATGTATCCACCAAATTACGCGGTGGTCGGATATGGATACGAGGGTTATGGTGGAAGCTATCCGCCTCCGGCGCCACCACAACCATCTGGATACGGGTATGGGCATGGGTACGGATATGGGCATGGGCATGGACATGGATATGATCATGGGTATAATGGGATTGCAAGTCGTCATGATTATTTTAGTGAAGAAAATCCACAAGGATGCTCCGTAATGTAAAGTGGTTATTGATTATTGATTCCATTTCATATCTTGAAACATAACATGAAAATCATCGATATTAGGTGGGTAATTACTAATTAGTGTTGAAAGTAGATATATTATTATTGTTATTATTTCTTTGGTATTGTAACAAAACTAATTGAATATGTATTTTTTGGGTGGAAATTTGTTTAATGTCAAATGGATTTTATTATTATTATTATTATTATTTTAATTGTAGATTGAGAGAAAGAAAATTGGAATTGGCAATAGAACACATCACCATGTCCCTTCATCATTTGCTTTGCGTAACCGTCTTTATCACCATGTCCCTTCATCATTTGCTAACCGTCTTCTTTAGTTCTTTTTTTGTCGATAAGAAAATTTATTCGTGTATTTAGGAGTACCCTATATATATTTATATATTGTTAATGATTGATTGATGAAAACTATCCTTAGTTAGATGTAGTTTTGATTACCCTATTATGTTTTTTCTTTTGTTTTGTATCTTTTTTCTCAAATTTTGTATATTTGGTTCCAGCTTCCTGTTGGACACCTTTATTTATGTTAACATATTTTGGCCGTTCAAAAAAAATCATTATCCAACACCTTCTTCTCTTATTTTTATATTTCTTATAATAATAATAATAATAATAATAATAATAATAATAAAAGGTTCATGATTTGATTTAATGTATTTGTCATATATGGGGGACAAATTATATAAATGGTTCATATAATTTACGACATGTCAATATATATATATATATATATATATATATATATATATATTTGAATGGTGATCGTGGTTATTTTTTCATGCATG